TCTATTTTTAATTTTTGGAGGACTCTCCATACTGTTTTCCACAATGGCTGCACCAGTTTACATTCCCACCAACAGTGCACCAGGGTTCTCTTTTTTCCATATCCTCACTGCACTTGTTATTTGCTGTCTTTTTGATAACTATTCTGACAGGTGTGAGGTGATATCTCATTGTGGTTTTGATTTACATTTCCCTGATGATTAGTGGTGTTGAGCATCTTTTGATGTACCCACTGGTCATGTGCCCTTTTTTAAGAAATCACTTTAACCAGGAGTATGGTATAGTCTGGCTGACAACCTCCCAAGGCCATATTATGCGTGCAGATGATTTTCCCAAAGAAATAGGAAGAAAAATGCTGGGAAAACAAAATTTATGTTTATAATTATCATAACTGAGGCTACATATCTATATAAATTTTTTTCATTGACCAAGTGACTAATTGGTTTGAATGATAGGTGTACTGAATTGAATATGATTGAATGGTAAAGTCAATAAGAACCTAATATCCAAAAATACAACAGAACATATCCAATATTAAATTGATGAACAAAATAGGAAATATCTTTATTTATCCAGATTTTCAACTGTAAAGCACTAGTGTCCCACGCTTCTCAAAAAATATAAGAAAAATAAGAACCATGAGAAGTAGATGAATGCCATGGTCCCTGCCCTGGACATCTATAGTCCAATTTAAGCTATAAACCTTATAAATAAATCATTTTACCTGCAAAAGTATAATTCTAAAATGACATAATTACACAAGTTGGTAAAAAGGAGAGGTTTAATAATAAGCCTTGCTAAGGGGCTGTATAATAAACCAGTTGTAGATAATATAGGTAACAATCTTGCTTTCAATGTTGGAACAACTTTTCAAGTTGCCAGGTTTTAGGAAAACTCACCTTTCATTTTTCATTAAAGTCTCAGAATTTATTTGCACTCAAATAAGGATGTAACTCCTACACTTCCGTTTCCTTTACGTGTTTCTCTTGATTTCACCACAAAAGCTACGTAATTTATAGGAAGTTAGTTGAACTTCTTTTCTTAGAAACAGGAAGTTACACATTTAAAGGGTATTTTTTTAGGGGTACTGGAAGTTTACAATTTCATTCAAATCTCAGGATAAAGAAGTAACTAAGGTCATAGTTTGTAACGCTAATTATAACTTATTATAACAAGTTACAGTTTGTAACACTATTATAATAAAACCCTAATGCAAAACATAGGTCAAAATAGCAAATAACTGAATTAATTGAAAGGATAATAAAATGAGAATGATGATAAGGAGTATAAATATAGAATCCAATGCACCTTAAAATCCAGTGAAGCAAAAAAAAATTTTTTTCTTAAATGTTTGTATCTGTATGAGCACAAACTGGGATTGTAAATTTCTTTTAGTAACAACAGAATCACCTTTGCATGTCTCTTGTCACAGCTAGGTGACTTAACCAATATAATTTGGTTATTCCTCTGTAATTTAATTCACTTTTGTGCCTACATTTTACCTGTGCCTGAATAGATCTATCTGGCTGGGGAATAACACAAAACCACATTGGAATGTCTCTTTTTAGAAGTATATACAACTCTAGATTTCTTTCTCTCTCTCTCCATCCCTCCTTCTCTCTCCCTTGCTCTCTCTCTCACTCTCTCTCTCTATTTGACTTGCATGAAACTCTCTCTCCTTCTAAGTTACTGGGTACTTCTGTCTGCAGAATCCTTTCTTTCCTCTTTTGTTTTCTTTTAATACTCATCAGCTTCTTAGATGAGCCCATTCAGCCTAAATGCTACCTACATTCTCATTCCATACCTCTCCATCAAGTGCTCCCCCAACCTCTCTATTTCAATGTCAAATAGGCATCTTGTACTTAAAATGTTCAAAACTAATCTTCACATTTTGCCTTTCATACAGAGTCATTTCCCAGTTATTGACGTCTCAATTAATGGTATTTTCATCCCAGTAACTCAGGCCAAAAAATTCTGAAGCATCAATGTCTCCTCTCTTTGTCTTCAATACTACCTCTAACCCATCTGTGAGTTCTTCCTTTATACACACAGAGTCTCCAGCTCCAGTGCTACCACTGTATTTCAACCAACTCTTGCCTGTCATTGTAACAAGTTTTTAATTGTGATCTTTCAACTTCTGCCCTTGCAGAAATTGCAAACCGACTGCCCTTTTTTATGCTGGAACCTTGCTTTATTTTCCTTCAAGGCATTTCCTCATCAACTGAATTATATAGTTTTTTGTTTGGTTGGTTGGTTTGTTGGTTTATTGTTTATTTCCCTCCATATGCGTGCAAGCAGCAGGAGATCATCAGTTTTGTTGTATTCAATGCTCTATCCCCGGTACCTAGAACATTGCCAGGGAATAGATGTTCACTAATTATTTTTTGAATTAATTAATAAATCAATGTGTGCATATGATAGCAACAAAGTGAGTAGATTGAGGGTGGTCATATTAGAAAAGCTGACTTCTCTGAATCATTCAGATTTCTTCTAGGCTTCAGATTTGTGGCTACAGTAGTGCCCAGGAAAGAATCAGACACTGGAGAAACAATGTGCGATACGAAGTCCAAGAATAAGACACAGAAGCCTTTTAACTTTGGGGTGCCCTGTACTTTTTCACTTCTACCCTGCTTTGAAAGATGCCATGACTCTGTAGCTCCCAAACAACTTCATTACCAATGCTTCATTACATACCCAGCTTGAGCCTGTGGAAAAATCTCCTACTCTTTTTTTTTTTTTTTTTTGGGGTAGTAGCTCCCAAACAACTTCATTACCAATGCTTCATTACATACCCAGCTTGAGCCTGTGGAAAAATCTCCTACTTTTTTTTTTTTTTTTTTTTGGGGTAGATGATACTGGTGGATTTGCAGGGGATCTAGTCTGAGTAATCAAAGTTTTCCATACGGTTTGTATTGCACTGATTTCTCTTCTTGTGTCAGTTAACCACCAAACATTTATTGTAATTTAAGTTTCTATCCTCAAGACTTTTCGTATCTTTTTCATAGGAGAATGATAGAAATTCAAGGAGCAGTGGTATGTAGACTGCTGACATACTGTGTGATGAACAGGTTGGCCTTTGCATGAGTTTTTGGCAGATCTACTTGATTGACATCTAGTCTTCACAACCAGTCTGACTATTCAAAAATTAAAAATTGAGCTGAGACCTATATGGTGATTGTTTTTTAGTTTGGGAAGATATTAAGATTATTGCAGTTGTTATCGGTGTTGTTATTATTATTATTTAATATCTGATAGCTGAAGATACTACAATGTTATTTCTTCAGGGGGAACGTAATCTTGGCTTTTCTGCTGTCTTCTTCTGGTTAAATCTTAAAATCATTTTTCCAATATTGTCGTGGTCATTATTGACCTATTGCTATATTCTATATTCGGTACTCAATTTTCTTCTTAATGGACTTCTCAGAAGAATTTGATATAATGATCTTATCCTTTCCTTTATAAACTTTCTTTGTTTGCTAGAGAAGTAGGACTAATAATATCATTAATATCGAGATTCCCATCTTCACTACCTCTAGCACTCCCTCTGACTCCACCACTAGCATTTTTCTCATGTGAAATATGCATAAAGGTTATTCTTTGTCCCATATGAACTTTCTTGGATGCTTTATTTATTTATTATTATATTTAGATTAGTCATATTTGTAAATGTAATTTGTAGCCTGCTATGTGATCTGAAATGACAGTGGAGGATTTATGTAGAATGTTATTTTCATGAGTCTGCATTGAAATTTCATACTCACTGGTGAGATTTTTGTTAATTTTCTCCCATAAGTAAATATATGTATGTGTGTCCATATGTGTGTGTGTGTGTGTGTGTGTGTGTGTGTGTGTATCTCCATTGCCAGAATTATGTCTCCATTTCTCCATTTACTGGGATAGTCCTAATTTTTATTTATTTTTAAATGAAAAATGAGATAAAAATGCCAAATTCTAAGATTCTGAATAAATTAGAACTAGACATAGATTTGTTTTCTTTTTTCACTGTTTTGATTTCAATTCAAAAGAATATTAAGCATTCAGATATTTTTTGGGCTGGAACATGTTCCACTTTGTTTTCTCAGTAGAATATGAAACAGGGAGTCAGCATCATTTAGGACAATGACTTCTCAGAAAAAAGAAAACATCACATATTTTCATTTGTCCCAATTTCTGAAATGTAACTTTTTAGCAAAGGTTTACATAGATCTTACTGTGACCTTCTTTGACTCAATACCTAACACACAATTCATTAATTCCATCTTTTACTCCTTAAAGAGAGAAAGAAAATTTATTAATTTTACAATAATGTTAGAGTCTTCAGCCCTGTTGAAGGGTATTTGGCATAGGGTCTCCAAAACAGATTGGCACTGATAATATTTCAATTTAAGCCTTTGTAAGTTATTCTTTTTTTAAGTCTTTTGGTAAGTTTATTTTTGTAAGTAGCATTCTGAAGAGGAAACATGTTTATAAAGCAATACATTTGTTTATTTGTGGCATATATATTTTTCAAACAATAAAACTGATAAAAAGAAACTGATTTGATTTCAGGGAAGCTGACTTTAGTACAATGAAATTACTAAATCAATAGCATAGATATTGATTATTTTCAGCCCTAAACTTGAAATGCATATTCAGTTAACTCATGTTGTATTAAATAATACAGAAAAATTCTAAATCTAAGTTACTTTAGTTCATTTAATTTTAATAATTTTAATTTTTTGGTAGGGAAGGTAGTCCTAAAAACTGAATTTTAAAAGAATGATCCACTGTCCCTGCCTAATAGACTTGGAGAATGAAGGAAGATATTAATAGATAGTATGTAACAGTACTGAGCTCAATGACCAGATCAGTATAGATGATGATTCAATATTAAACAAACATAACTAGATTGTTTTTGCATGCCTCAAGAAAAGAATTAGATTAATTAATAGATGAGAGGGAGTCAGTGAGTTAAGGCACACTTCTTGATGGTTTTGTGTTTCAACTTACTACCTAGGAGTAAATGAAATCAGCAGAGGCTGATTTTCTGACAACACTGCCTTCAGCCTTCTTTTTCTCTGTTCCAGCCAAAGGACTCTCCCTGGCTGACCTCAGTTCCACTTGTGAACTGGTGCACTCTAGCGGTAATGTGAGGGCTTAAAGAAAGAGCCTGCTACCATGTGATTGTGAGATAAACATATCTGGGTGGAGAATGAAGCGAAGATTCTCATGTTGCTCTCCCTGAAAACACCTTCCTGTGCCCAACAGAATACTTTTTGCCAAATCCTACCTTGCCATCCAGTCATTCTTCATTTGTGAGTTTTGGAAGATTGTATCTTTCAAGGACTTGGCCCATCTCACTTAGGTAATCAAATTTGTTAGCATAGAGTTGTTCATAATATTCCTGTATCATCCTTTTGATGTCCATGGAATTTGTAGTGATATCCCCTGCTCCATTTCTGATATTAGTAATTTGTGTCTTCTCTCTTTTTTTTTCTTAGTTAGCCGGGCCAGAGGCTTATCAATTTTATTGATATTTCCAAAGAACTCACTCTTGGTTTCATTGTCTTTCTATATTCACATTCTGTTTTCAATTTCATTGATTTTTTTTTGCTCTAATTCTTATTATTACTTTTCTTCTGCTTACCTTGACTTTAATTTTCTCTTTTTTCCCCTAGTTTGCTAGGGCGGAAACTTAGATTATTTATTTTAACTTTCTCTTCGTTTCTAATATATGCACTCAATTCTATAAATTTCCCTCTAAGGACTGCTTTTGCTGCATCCCACCAATTTTGATAAGTTCTGTTTTATTTTCATTTAGTTCAAATATTTTTAATTTCTCTTGAGATTTCTTCATTGATCCACGTGCTATTTAGAAGTGTGTTGTTTAGAGAAAAGGGAACCCTCCTGCACTGTTGATGGGAATGTAAATGGGTACAGCCACTATGGAGAAGAGTACAGAGGTTCCTTAAAAAACTAAAACCAGAGCTACCATATGATCCAGCAATCCCACTCCAAGGGATATACTGGAGAAAACCATAATCTGAAAGGATACATGCACCCCAAGGTTCATTGCAGCATTATTTACTATAGCCAAGACATGAATCTAAATGTCCACTGACAGGGGAATGGATAAAGAAGATGTAGTGTATATATATTACTCAGCCATGAAAACAGAAGACAATAATGCCATTTGTAGCAACATGGATGGACCTAGAGATTATCATACTAAGTGAAGTAAGTCAGACAGAGAAAGACAAAGGTAGCACTCATATGTGGAAGCTAATTTTTTTTAAAAAATGAAACAAACGAACTTATCTACAAAACCTAATCAGACTTACAGATACTGAAAACAAACTTATGGTTACAAAACGGGAAACATGGTGCGGAGGGATAAATTAGGAGCTTGGAATGAACATACACATACCACTGTATATAAGATAGTTAACCAACAAGGACCTACTGTATAACACAGGGAATTCTACTCAATATTCTGGGATAACCTATATGAGAAAAGAATCTAAAAAAGAATGAATATATGTATAACTGAACCACTTTGCTGTACACTTGAAACAAACACAACACTGTAAATCAACTATACTCCAATAAAATTTAAAAGAAAAAGAAGTGTGTTGTTTAATCTCCATGTAGTTGGGATTTTCTAGTTATCGTTCTTAATGGTATCTAGTTTAATTCCACTGCAACCTGAGAGCAGATTTTGGATGAGTTCTATTCTTTTAAATTAGATTTTTTCCTAAAATTAAGTTCTTCTTTCAAAGCTCAGTATTATGTTAATCTAGTAGTTTTTAGTACAACAAAACTATTTACTTTCGTTTGTTGTACGACTACTATATTGAAAAATATCAGTTGTAGATATGGACTTGTGCAAAACCAGGCATAAATACCCCACGAGAAAATCAAGCAGGACATATTTATTTAAAGTGTGCCAAAGGAGAAAAGTCAAGATCAATTAGTAACATTTTTCCAGGCCAGATCAAGGAATAGATTTTTTTCCCCTAACTATCACTGAGCCCACAGTTGTAAATGATACCATCTGAATGAATGAGTATTAATATAGACTTTCTATAACCATGAAGGTGCTTCCCTAAGAAAAATTCTGCTTTCAGGCCAGTCATGATATATTCCAGGGGCCTCTTTTTGGGCTTCATTATTCTTGGAGTTATACCATATGACTCAGGTAGTATGCTCAGATATGAACAAAATTTTAATGCTTAACCTGAGCTTTCCCAAGCTAACAACCTGGTCGAAGTATTTTCTCAAACTCAGGGTTCCTAAACCCTGAAAGAAAGTCAAATTTCCAGAAATTTCAGGGAGCTGTGTTAATGAGCAGTTAGAATAACTATGTGGCATATCTTTTATATATCATTTAATTAAACAGATTAAATTCCCCACAACAATGAATCTGAATCACAAACTTAATGACTATATGCTAAATTTTTCAACTATATTTTCATGAAAGTTTTACCTTAAAAACAGTTTGCTTGAAATAAATACCCAGGATAGTGTCAGGCATGTAATAATTCCTCAGTACTAGTAGGATGCTAAAAAATGATCATTCCTGTTTAATTTTAACTGAGAGTATATATGCCAAGAACAATTCTATGGATACTAGACTGCTTGTACCAGGCATGCTAACAAATTCGCAAAACTGATTTTTCAAATTTTAATCCATCATCTGCTTCCAGAGTACATTAAGAATTTATGAGTGGGGCTTCCCTGATGGCGCAGCGGTTGAGAATCTGCCTGCCAATGCAGGGAACACGGGCTCGAGCCCTGGTCTGGGAGGATCCCACATGCCGCGGAGCAACTAGGCCCGTGAGCCACAACTACTGAGCCTGCGCGTCTGGAGCCTGTGCTCCGCAACGAGAGGCCGCGACAGTGAGAGGCCTGTGCACCGAGATGAAGAGTGGCCCCCGCTCGCCGCAACTAGAGAAAGCCCTCGCACAGAAACGAAGACCGAACACAGCCAAAAATAAATAAATAATTAAAAAAAAAAAAAAGACTTTATGAGTGTTCAGGTCCCTGCTTAAATTTTTAATCCATTTTGAGTTGATTTTTGTGTATGGTGTAAGATAAGGCTCTAATTTCCTTCATTTGCAAGTGGATATCCAATTTTTCCAACGCCATTTGGAATCCAGTCAAACTATGTGTGGATTTGGCTTAACTTTACTTCCCTGAAGAGGAAATGGACCTGGGTGGATGGTTCTCCATTGGATTCAAAGATGTGAGTCTTTCCTAAAAGGCAATCTGATTTATTGTTTATCACAGAATTTATCTCCTTAAAGCACCTACAAATCCACCAAAATGAACTCACATAGTTCTTGGTACTAAAGAACTTAAAAGGATGAAAATTAATGTTAGCTGAAGTAATGACAGATATTTTGGTTTGGTTTTCAAAGCAAAAGGATTTGAAAACAATAATGATTGTGCACTTATTGTTTCAAAACCACTCACACTTTACGTGGAAAGGGGACTGAAATAATGTAGTCTTCTATTTTCAAAGTTCTGAATGCTTTTTTAGTCATCTTTAGCAATTAAAAAAACTGTATACAATTTTTGTATTATATGATTATCACAATGTTAAAAAACAAACGAGAAATACAAGACAGAACAAAATAATCCTGAATGCTCTCAGCAATTGCATGAGGTTATTGAGATTTTTTTTTTAATGTTTTTGTGTGCTTGTATTAATTTTATAATCAAATATTTAATTAGAAATACAAATAGTAAAACCAGTAAACTCAAATCTTATCCCTATGTTGGTAGGCAGACTAATGGTCCCCCAAAATGTCCTAATCCCCAAATCCTATGAATATGTTACTTTAAGTGCAAAAGAGACTTCATGAGTGTGATTAAATTAACAATGTTGAGCTAAGAATATTCTGCTAGATTATTCGGGTGGGCCCAATATAATCTCAAGAGTCCTTATAAGAGGGAGGAAGTAGGGGCAGGCTCAGAGGAGACTTGAAGATAAACACAGAGTTCCAAGTTATCTGATTGATACCAAGGACTACAGGCAACCTATAGTACTTGCAAAAGCCAATGAACAAATTTTCCCCTAGTGCCTGCAAAAGGCAGCTCTGCAGACACTTGATTCTAATCCTTTAAGGACAGTTTTGGACTTCTGATATCTAGAACTGTAAGATAAGAAATTTGTGTTGTTTTAAGTCACAAAATTTGTGGCAATTTATTACAGCAGTGATAAGAAACATTCACTATGGTAACCAACTTAATGAATAGTATGTCTTATTTTCCCTTCACTCCTATCTCATCATTAAATATTACTTATTTTCTATCTCACTGCTCTAAATTCATCAGTCTAAGGAAGTCAACTGAAGACATCTTTGGAAAGGAGAATAAAATCATGGATGTGTGTCATCTAAGGGTAGAGTTGTGTCACTGGACATGACCTGATTGGCTGCTTATGAAGATGCTAACCTGGGTTTTCTCCTCATGCCAAATTCACTCAACACCACCTATACAAAATTCAAATATAAAGGTGCATAAGTTCAAATATAACAGTGTATTTTCCAATATGAAAATCCAATACTTACTTGTCTATTCTTATTCTGGGAGCTTTGATGATCGTGGGTCTCTTTTCCATGATACCTCCTTGAACTTTTTTTCTAAGTTTAAATAAATTCCTAACAGAATAAATCACTAAGACTACAGTATTTTAGAGATAACTTTACTACTGTATTTAACATGTTGCTTTATCGATAAGTAATACAACAAATGTACAACTTATTTAGGGCTTACATGGGTCAGTTTGTGTATTGAGTTCTTTACAAACATCAATTCATTTAACCTCTATAACAATATCATGAGATAAATATTATTATAACTATTGTACAATAAGATATGAAAAGCCAAGAAAAGTTAAGTGAACAGTTCATGTGTCTCAATCTGTTTTTAATCTAATGGATGACATGGAACAATGGAAAGAATACTAGCATAGAATTATGGGCACAGATTTCTTCTTAGCTCTGTCATTTGCAAACAGACCCCCGGGGAACTGTCTGCCAATCACAGACAGTAATACTAAGTTACAGAGATATTGGAATGTTTAATGAGTCAAGGTATTTGAAAATTCTTCGAATATTTGAATTACCTTTTAATAAAGGGAGGGTATTAACTGAAAACACAAATGGATGTCTTCAGCAACGACGATTAAATAAGTATTCATCTTTTCTGCAGATTCTTCATAAAAGGACCAACTAAAGAAAATAGCTGTGCTGCCATCAAGGAAAACAGAATTTACTCTGAAACTTGCAATAGTGTTTTCAAATGGATTTGCCAATATTAAAAGTTTAAAAGTGATAGTGGAATAATCAAGGATAAAAGTTCTTTTGCCTAACATTAATCTTCAGGAGTAAGAATTTAAAATTGCAGTTAAACACCAGCCTCGCTTTTCTATTTTCCCTCGATCATCTTCATGGGTCCTAGCCACAGAGTAACCCATGTTAGCAATCTAAAATATACCCCTCTGATTCTTTATGTGATAATGTAATCCAGAGTGAACCCATGCATTTATATTCATGATTTAATTCACCTTTTCTTTTACAACAAATGTGAACAAATTATGTCTGCTTTTCTGTTATTTTGCTTTTCTTTTATTCTTAACAATATCCTATGGAAATTTCACATAGTTCTGAGTTGCATTATAGTGTGGATTTATACATTTTTCACTCCTTTATTGATGAGCATTAACTTTTTTCAGATTTTTGCTACATGAACTATGCTGCAATAAATATTCTGAATATCTTTCTAAATAGTAGCACTTTTATTTCTATGACGTAAACTTTAAAATTGGACTTTCTGGGTAAAAAGTGTTAAAAATGTTGTTGGTTGGCTTTATACAACTTTTGTCTTAATTTAGAAACTATCACAAACTTATAAGAAGATTATAGGTACAGGAAAAAAAAAATTACCTCTTCCCCAAACCTCTTGAGAATTAGTTGCCAATTTGATGAATTTCATTATAAAATTTCACATATCATTGGATACTTTTGTGTATATTTCCTACCAAAAAAATCCCCTACTTAACCACAATACAATTATCGATCAACCGATTAACATTGACACAGTGCTACCATCTCTAACTCTCTACCAGGTTTGCCAGTTGTCAGATAATGTTCTTTGGAGTAAAGCATCCAGATCCGAATCATTTTCTGCATTTAGCTATTTTGTCTCTTTAGTCTCTCAACATCTAGAGGAGTTCCTTAGCCTTCCTTGACGTTCATGACATGATACTTTTAAACACTACAAGCTGGATGTTCTGTAAAATGTTCTTCAGTCTACATTTGTCTGATTATCGAATAGCAGAGCAGTCGTTCAGTGAAGCTTTGTTTTTCTCGCTGCAGCCTTTCAGAAGATGCAGTTTTATTTGTTCCATTATTGATGATGCTCACTTTATTCACGTGGTTAATGTGGTGCCTACCAGACTTCACTGGAAAGTCTCTCTTTTCCCTTTGTAACCAATTAATATTGTGTTGGGAATGGCCAAGACGGCCTTAACATTCCCCTGAGCTTGACTAAACCTTAGACAAGTTTCCTTCTTCCTGATGATGCACTCTTGACTTCCCCCTTTTTAGAGCATTTTCTCTAGGAAACTTGCTACTGGAAATTCTTTCTCTACCCCTAAGAGATGGAAATCTTTTAAGAAGCTTCTTAAATATTTTACAACCCAGAAATGTCTTTTGCCAGGACCTGGGAGCCATCCTTTCGAAATGCAATCATCAAGAAAGATTGCACCTTTGTTTCTCAGTTTCTTTGAGAGGGTAGGAGCCAAACTTCAGTGGGTGCCTATAGCTCCAAGTTGTAAAACTACCTCCTATTATGAATATCTGAGACAGTTTAATTTTCTTTTGAGTAAAGTCATATAGATGGTATGTGATCCCCCTTTTACCCCATCTCTTAAAAAGCTTATTGCTTTTTGTTTCAGCAGATTTTTAGTTCAGACTGAATTCTGGTCTATTTCCCCTACTGCAATAGCCTTGAATGAAGTCTTCCTTTCCTGTGTAACATTGTTCTGTGCAATTTTCACTTTCACAGGTGGTATTTTTAAACTCTGTGAATATCCCATTCATCATCAAAATTTCAATTTATTCATTTTTATATGTATACCTTTGTGGGCTTCCATTTTCATATTTTGTTCAATGGGTTATAGTCTCCTGTTTTGATGGTCTAATTGTTTCAGAACTACTCATGAGAGTCACCAGTCAAGATGACATCTGTATTCTTAATCTTCACAACCCTTTGCTGGTCTGCAGGTTTTTTGTTGTTGTTGTTTTTTAATGATAATAACCTCAGCAGAATGCCAATAACCATTTCTGCCAAAGTTTGAAATGGACTTTATGTTCTAGTCTGATTCATAAACATTAATAAAATAATTTAATCAGACAAATATAAAAATGTCTTTTCCAAATAATTTGCTTCTTTTTGTAGTTTAAAATGTTACATTTTGTTTTCTGTCTCCTTGTCTAGAGTTTAAGTTCCATACAGGCAGGGTTTTTTTCCTGTTTGGAAACCTGTTGCATCCCTATTATTTAAATCAATGCCTGATACATAATAGGTGCTCAATAAGTATTGGTTGAATAAAATTTTATAGGTGCTGTAACGAAAATTTCTGTGGATCAAGATGGCAGAGGAGTGGGATGCAGAGATCACCTTCTCCCCACAGATACATCAAAACTACATCTACGGGCTTCCCTGGTGGCGCAGTGCTTGAGAGTCCGCCTGCCGATGCAGGAGACGCGGGTTCGTGCCCCGTTTCGGGAAGATCCCACATGCCGCGGAGCGGCTGGGCCCGTGAGCCATGGCCGCTGGGCCTGCGCGTCCGGAGCCTGTGCTCCGCAAATGGGAGAGGCCACAACAGTGAGAGGCCCGCATAACGCAAGGAAAAAAAAAAAAAAAAACTACATCTACATGTGGAATGGCTCTCACAGAACATCTACTGAACGCTGGCAGAAGAACTCAGGTTTCCAAAAGGGAAAGAAAATCTCCACATAACAGGGTAGGGAAAAAGAAAAGGAAGGGGTGAAAGAGAGAGGACCGGCACCTCTGGGAGGGAGCTGTGAAGGAGGAAGTGTTTCCACACACTGGGAACTCCCCTCACTGGCGGGGACAGAGGGGGAGCTTTGGAGTCTCAGAGAAGACCCCAGCAATGGTGTACGGGAACATATGGGAACATATGTATATGTATAACTGATTCACTTTGTTATAAAGCAGAAACTAACACACCATTGTTAAGCAATTATACCCCAATAAAGATGTAAAAAATTAAAAAAAAATAAAAAATAAAAAATTAGCTGACCATTAAAAAAAAATGAGAACTCAGGGGTGTTTTTCTTTGTTCTGGTCTTTCACTTAATTTTGCAAAGACTGTGTTTTCATTTTCATTTCCCTAATTCTTTCATATGCCTTAAAGTTCCCTTTAAAAGTATTTAATTTCTTACTACCTTATAAGAAATAATGCTTTGGGGCTTCCCTGGTGGCACAGTGATTGATAGTCCGCCTGCCGATGCAGAGGACACGGGTTCGTGCCCTGGTCCGGGAAGAACCCACATGCCACAGAACGGCTGGGCCCGTGAGCCATGGCCGCTGAGCCTGCGCGTCCGGAGCCTGTGCTCTGCAACGGGAGAGGCCACGACAGTGAGAGGCCCGCGTACCACAAAATAAACAAATAAATAAATAAAAAAGAAATAATGCTTTGGTAAAACCATGATGAGGAATCTCATCTGTTTCCTAATTATTTCTATAGCAAAGAAGATTGATCATACTTCCTGCACACTTTCTACTATTATGATCCTAAAATGCTATATTATCTGTTATTAGTTGATTTTAGAAACTACTGTCTATACTTTCCCCCTTAAAAACATCCAGCTCCTCTGTAGCACATTATATCAGATTATACTATCAAATAACACAATGCATTGCGAGCATCTACAAATTCCAGGGCATTTCTCATTTCTTTACCATTTTTTCAAATGTCTTAAATCTCCTTGTTCACTTCTATTCCTGCCATGATTATCAGTAATTTCAGTATTCTTGCAGGTGAAAATTCCAATACCCTGCACTCTCAGGTCCTGGATTTACCTCCAGTCACCTTTGACCACACCACAAATTGACAACTCATTATGGTGATCATTCATTAAAGCTATGCTTTCCATTATTGTAGTTACTAGTCACATGTGACTATTTAAACTTCAGTGAATTAAAATTAAAAATTCATTTCCTCAGTCATACTAGTCATACTTCAAGTGCTCAATAGCCACAGGTGGGGCTCTTGGCTGTGGACCTGGACAGCACAATGTATAACATTTCCATTATCACAGAAAATTCTACTGGACAGTGCTGCACTAGATCCAGACAATTTCATTACCAATGTGAGCACCCCCTCTATTACTTCAGTTTTAGATTTCTACTCTCTAACTTCCAAGTCTTTTCTTTCCAGCTCATTCCCTAGAGTGAGTCTATGGCCTACGGCACTTTGATGCCCCCTGGGATATCAAATTCAGTGACCATGCCACCTTTTCATTGTCCTAAATCCTTCATGTCTCATTTCCTGTTTTAGCTGGCTTAGACCGTTTATCGGGGTCAGTTATAATGATCACTTCCTTATGTACAGCTACAAGTTCAATGCTTGTCCCTTCCTTCATTGTACCTATCTGGAAAACGCATCCCAGTGAATCCAACTCTACCTACTCTGTACTTGCGTACGAGCAGCTAAATGTGACCGCATTCTCTGGTCTTATTTTACATTTTTGAAAGATAATTTGCCAGCAGTCTTACTAATCAGTCTATTCTGTGAATCTGCTAGAAGATTACTCCCAATTTCTCTTTCTTTTTCAATTCTCAAATTTCTGTTCTCCTTTCTCAAACTCAATTAAAAACCTGGCCTCTTATCTTGAGAAAACCCAAATATCAGACGAGCATTTCCTCTGCCCCATGAGCAAATATACAAAAAATATTTTACATCTGTATATGTAAAGCAATATCATTTTCAACCGTTTTCTGTGGTTAAATTCTACACACTCTCATCTACAGTCAATCTCCATCTACAAATTGAAATCCATTACATCTGCTTAGTCAAATATTTTTAACTTGTAAATCTCTCTCTCTCTCTCTCTCTGGAATCATCATTTTTTTAATCTCTAGTGGTTTACTCACCTTAACTTGTAAACATGATATAATATCTCCATTAAAAATAAGCCAAAAAATGTTTGCTTACACCCCTGCCCCCCCCACACACACTATCACCCCATTTCTCTAATTGTCTTAACAACAAAAGGGTTCAAAAGCTGTCTATGCCTGCTGGATCTTCCTGTTTTCCCAAACCCACTTTAATCAGGCTTTTCCCCTCACTATTTCTAGTAAGATGCTAGTAAGTCACTGTTAACCTCTATATCAACACATCAATGGCTATTTCTCAGGATTCATTTTACTCAACCTATAAACAGCATTTGACATAACTGATTATTCCCTTTAATTTAAAATTCTTCTCCAAAATACTTTGCTCTCCAGGACACCATTATCTTGTTTTTCTTTTACTTCATTACCTAATCTTCCATCAGATTTGCTGATTCCTCCTTAG